AGGCTGCCGGGTCCCACCGGGGCCATCCCCCGCTCGTCTCCCCGCTCCCGGGCAGGAGATGCCGAGTGACAGCGCTGCCCGCGCCCATCACATCCTGTTAGCGGGAGCTGGCCCGGGGGGAGCAGCGCTGAGGCCCCCCACCATCCTCATCCTCACGGCCCCAGCAGGCGCAGGGGCTGCATCCGGCCCTGCTGGTGACATCTGACACGTCCCCACCCGGGGATGGGGGTCTCATCCCCGCCGAGGGGGTGCAGCCCGGGCCCTGCATCCAGCAGGAGCCGCATCCCTGCCCCCTCTCTGCCCCCGTCCCTCTCCTGGTCGGGGGGCACGGGGGGGCCCAGCGCCCCCACACCGAGATCCCAAAACTGCTCACGCAGGGTCGGAACGCCCATCCCGGCTGCCTGCCGGGGCAGGGAAGGCTGCGTTAATGATGGCAGCGCTAATTAGGCGGCTCAGCCCCGCGGCGGCAGGCTCTGTGCCCGCTCGGGGGGCAGCAGGTTGCCGAGGTTTGAGCCCGGGATGTGGCAGAGCCCCGGGCTCGGTGCCAGGGACCTGTGCGGCCCCGGGCTCTGCTCCGCCTCGGGCTCGGGGCTGGTGGCAGCCCCGAGGGCTGGGGCCGTTTATTGCAGGGGAAATGCAGATTTCCCTCGGCTGAGCAATGCCAGCGATGAGGGGAGATGGGGCTGGGAGGGCTGGAGGACCCCCAGATTGTCCCCTGCTCTCCCAGGCGGGGCTCAGCGCTGGGGATGGGGAATTTCGGGCTCCCCCTGTCCCCAGTGAGGTTGAGCCAGAGGCTGGAGCTGTTCATTCTGCCCCAGGGCTCAGCTGAGATCCCTCAGGAGATAATTCCCAAGCCTACCTCCCGCAGCAGTGCAGAATCCCGTAATTCCCAGCTCTGCTGTGTTCAGGGCCGGTTTTTACCTGGTGATTCTTCTGTCAACATCACATGGCAGCTCAAAGTGCTTTTCTCTCCCCCGTGCCTCCCCTGCTGATGCCTTCAGAGGGAGCTTCTCCACGGCGTGCGAGCCCATCCAGTTCCTCCCACTCCCTGGGGTCCCTGTCACTTCCCCTGGGGACAGGGTGACACCCCAGAGTGTGCAGGGCACACAGGCAGCACCATTCAGCTCTGCGGGGACCCCTCCTCAGGCTCCCACCCACCTCAGCCAGCGGTGGGGGGCACAGGGCTGCAGCCCCCCCTTCCCAGCTCCTGGCAGGGCTGTGCTGCTGCTGCTGAGCCCCCCAGACTGCCCGGGGCACGCAGAGGGCTCAGAGCTGCGGTGACCGCGGTGACAACGTGGCATCAGAAGCCATCACAACCCAGGCCAAGGCGTTTTCCCAGGACCAGAATTTCGGGAGCTGTGGGAGCTGAGCCCTCACTGAACCTTTGTCACCCCCACCCCGAGAATGCCACCCTCAGCCCCGTCCCCTGCTGCCACCACGGGGACATTGCCCAGCTCCGTGTGCCCCCTTGCCGGGTGGGAGAGGCACCTTGGGCCCCACCTGTGCCCGGTTCCCTGCTGCCAGGGTGGATGGGGAAGCCCCAGGGCTGGGGGAAGCCCCGGCCCTGCCATTCCCAGCTGCTCCAGGCCTTGGGGGATGATGGAGCAGGAGGCACTGGGCGGGGAGAAACAGCAGGGCCCGGCCCGCTCCCTTCCTGGGTGGAGAAAGATGCAGAAAATGGAGCTATAAAAAAGAGTCAAATCCGTCCAAGGAGGTGCCAGAGTGCTGAGCAGCCACCCCCACGCCAGGGATGTGCAGGAGAGGCTCGGGGGGGACCAACAGCCCAACTCTGGGGATAAAATATGAGCTAGGAGACGTGGGCACGGCCTCACCCCAGCTGTGCTCGCACATCTGGCAGGGCCAGCCCTCCCCAGGCTCCCAGCAGATGCTGCAAGCACAGGCAGCTCTTGCCTCCAAGGCCTGCCCGTGCTGCAGGGGGGTGGGCTGGGGCTCACTCCCCCTCTCTGGTGTGAGCAGCCCTGCTCCTGCTGGCAGCAGCGGCGCCCAGATCTGGCTCCAAGCGCTTGCCCTTGGCCACCGTGCAGGTGAGAGAGCTGGCAGCACCCACAACAGAGCCAGGGCTGGTCCCAAACCGCCCTGCTCCGGCCCTGGTGCCAAAACCACCGGGGTTTTGCCAGATGGGAGGAGGGACGGGGGTTGCTGCTACTGCAAAACCTCCCCCTGGCACCCTGAGCCCCAGCTGCCCTGCCTGGGGCACAGCCCAAGGCTGCCCTTCCCCACACCCCATGCCAGGGATGGGGCTCTGCTCTCAGAGCCTTCCTGAGCACCCACGATGGGACCACGAGTCCCGAGGTACCCCCTGCACCACCCCGGGCGCGCCGGGCCGTGGGGAGGGCTGGCAGCTCCAGTTATGGGCCTGGGTTACATTTAAATGAGAAACCTCAGCCCTAGCTTGGGGGATTTTGTTTCCTTGGAAGCGGCAGCAGGCAGGAAATGAAGAAAACACGGCCCTGCTGTAAGTGTTTTACCAAATGCCGGAGGCAGCGGGAGGCATTTCCCGGCACAGCTCGGCCTCGAGCATCATCCCCGGCCACCACCACAGCCACGGCTCTGGGGGCATCCGTGGTGCTTCCCGGGGAGGGAAGGCTGTCTGACAGCGCTGTGCTTGGTGGGAAACAGCAGAGTTCAAGGAGAGGGGGTCAGCAGCCCCCCATTTTGTCCCTGTCGCCCCACGCGATGCAGAAGGCAGCCCCGTGCCACGAGCCCAGGGCTGTGCAGGGACCCGGGGCCAGCAGGACCCTCTGCTCTCCTCAGGAAGCTCCCAGAGGACCAGGCTGCCGTGCTGGCTCAGGGCTGGGCTTTGTCTAGCTGGATGGGAGAGCGACTGAGCCCTGGCCACCTCCCCAGCTCCTGCCCTAAGCCCCGGCGCTGGCCTTCGCAGAGCGGCTGAGCCCGGCGCAGAGCTGCTGCCCTGCCAGACTGCAGAAACTTGAGCTCCAAATAACATAATTCCTCTGGCACCCCGTGGTTATTTGTGAGCTGCTGTGAGCAGATGGAAGAGTTACAGATAAAGCCATCCGCAGCACGGGAGCCGATTGCCTTCCCCACACAACGGCGTAGGCAACGGCAAAGGCAGGGAGGAGGAGAGAAAAAACTGCCAGAGAGGAGTCAGCCATTTCTGAGGGGCTGAGCTGCCATCTCAGCACACCTACGTGCGAGCAATGGGGACTTTCTGCTGGCACCCGGCCCTTCCCAGGGCGCTGGGAGAGGGTGGTGCTCTCCCAGCACCCGTGGCTGCTTGGCCAGGGACGGCAGCGGAGCCGGGGGTGACATTGGCACGGCTGCCACACACTGGGAGAGCAGGCTGCTAACGCTGATCCGAGCTGGCAGCGCCTGCTCTTGCTTCGGTCCCAGAGGGGGAATTAAGGGAGAGAAGCTGACGTCAGTGGTGGAAAGGACACACAGCCCACTCGTCCGAGGCAGCCGGCAGCATCTTCTGGGTGTTGCTAACACCACCTTGAAGGAGAAAATTAAATAGGTCTTTGGAGACGGGGGCTCCTGCGAAGCTGCAGCGTGGCCAGCTGTGGTCCTGTGCCGAGTCATGTGGAACAGACAGACGGGCACGGACAGGGATCAAAGGCCGGGGCCGAGGTGGGAGTGCCAAGGCTGCGGAGCTGCCCCAGCTGCAGCAGCACAGCGCTGCTCACGGGCAGGGCTGGGGCTCACACAATCAATCACTGCTGGCCTTCCCCTCCCTGCACACTGCCGAACCTCAGCCTCCAGGAGCTTCCTGGCTCCGTGGGTTACCCAGGAAGGCAGATCTGGAGCTCAGATTTCCCTGCTGTTTAGGGGGTTAAACCAGCACAAAACTCATCAACACCACCCCAACTCTGACAACACCTTCCAAGGGCTGCCTCTCCAAAAGCACGAGGCTCGGTGTTGTCCTGCACCCCAGAACAGCAAAGGCACCACCTGGCCACAGCCACGCCCAGCCAAAGGCAGCCAGGAGCTCCAGGTGCGCCTCCCCAGCTCCAGCTGGAGCCAAGAGCTGGGACACGCAGCTCCAGGGCGTGTGGAAGCCCCAGAGCTCCCTCCTTCCCCTGCCCTCTGCGCCCCTGCACGACTAAAGGCCTTGCTTGTTCAGGAGCTGGCAAGGCCAATTAATCTAATGAGGTTTTGCAGCCAGGGACCATTGTCAGCCAAGAAAGGCACAGCGCTGCAGAGCGAGGCACCGGTGTCTCCTACAGCCAAGGGAATTTGGCAGAGCAAAGCCCGTGGTAAAAGCAGGGACGAGGAGCAGCAGGGACAGAGCCTTTTGTTGCTTTTCACCAAGCAGCAAGAAAACAGAGCCCCACGGAGCGAGGCCAGACGAGGCACCTGAGCTCGGGGCCAGCAGCCACCGCTGCCAGGCACATCCACTGCACCAGGGAGCTGGAGCTGTGAAATGGAGGAAAAAGCTGCTGCAGCCCCTTCCCAGCCCAGCTGCAGCAACTCTGCTCTGCAAGATGGAGCCCGGGTTCATTTCCTATGGCAGGAGAGAGGCTGCTCCTGGGTGGGGCTTCCTTGGCACTGTGACCCTCAAATTGCCACTGGTAACAGCCCTCAGCCCACCTCGGCATGGAAAGGGTGTCTGTGCTGATGGTGTTTGCCAGACAGCTCGGGATGCACCGGGAAGCACCGGCTCCCCTCGGGCTCTGCCTGGGCAGGAGGCAGCCAGCCCTGCAGGGACAGCCTGGTGCTGCTCTGCGGGCACAAGGACAGGCACCACTGGCTCAGTGCCCCTGCACCTCCCACGCTGCCAGGAACGAGCCAGGTTTGCCCAGAGCAGCTGTGGTGCCCATCCTGGAGTGCCCAAGGCCAGGCTGGACGGGGTTTGGAGCACCCTGGGATAGTGGAAGGTGTCCCTGCCCATGGAATGAGATGGGCTTTAAGGTCCCTTCCAGCCCAAACCTTTCCATGACTCCAAGTCACACACACAGCCACAGCAGCCCCTGTGCCAGGCCCAGCTCACACCCCCAGTAACACACACAGGCACCGAGTGGATAGAAAGATTTTATCAAGTTTTAAAAAAGAATCAAAAAAAATTATTACTTTTTTTTTTTTTTATACATGTACATTACAAAATATTTGCAGTTGGGATCTTCATCCAGGGGTTACTGAGCTGATTATTAAAAACAACAAAACAAAGCAGCAGGAAATCTGGCTTATACAGCAACCGACAGGGAAAAGCACAGACATTACATGGGGATTCAGAAGGCAGAGTCTGCACTGGGATGTGCAAGGATGGACCAGGGGCAGGCTCTGATCCCCCACACCCACTGCCTCCCTGCAGAGTCCGGCCATCAGTGTTTGTTTTGCAGGGGTAAAAAAAAAACCTGACAAATCTACAGTATTTTGCTCACATGTTTGGGGTTTTTCGTCCTTTTTTCTTCTTTCTAAGCAGAGTTTCACTGCTGAAACTCCTTTGGTCTGAAGTGAGGAACCCCCTGCACCCTGAGAGTTTCCATCAAACGCCACCCTTCCGACCCCCAGCCTGGCTGGGTCCGTGGAGGGCACTTCCCATCCCTCCTCTCCCACCTTATCTCCTGCTCAGCAATAAACCCCTAAGATATAAGTGGAATAATTACTCTTATAAATATATTTATATCATGTAGGAAAATAAGGCACTTCAGGAGGGGTTACAGCTTGTCTAATTCTATGACATTCTAATCAGGAAGAAAAATGGGTTAGTTTCTGAAGTGAATTAAAATGAATGTTAATACAGTAATAAAAACATTGGATCCACTTCCACTTCAAGGCTTTGTTTAAAAAGGAAGAGAAGAAAGCACCCCCGAAATCCAACAGCAGTGAAACCTGACCCGGGGCAGCTGCATCTGCCCTGCCAGGCAGCTCCCTCCAGGGCAGGGACTTCCAAAAGAAACACGTTAAATAAGTTCACCTTCTGAAAAAAAAAAAAAAAAAAAAATCCAATCTACCCTTTCCCTGAAATGATCCCTCAGCCACGGGGGAGCTCGGGAGCCCCTGGCCGGCTCTGGCCCGGCGCTCGGGCTCTGATAAGCAGAGGAGAGGCAGCGAAGGTCACGGGCTGAGCCGGGAGCAGCAGCCGAGCACCGCGGGCGAGGACACCGCCAGAATGTTTAACCAGGGAGGCAAGGGAAGGGAGCTTGCAGCCCCCAGGGTGGGGGAACGGCTGCAAGGGGGAGCACAGCCCGTGCCCCGGGCTTTGGGGATTGCCTGAGGGTCGCCCCAGCCCCAGGAAAGGGGAGGAAGGAGCAAGAGCCCCCAGCACGGGGGCAAAGGTGGTAGGGCAGCCCTGCACCTCCAGCGCGGCTGCTCTGGCTTGCAAAGGTTGGTTTTGGCACCTCTCCTCCTCCCCTACTGCTTTCAAAAACATTGAGCTCACTTGGTGGCCCAGAGCTCTGCGATTTTGCAAGGACACAGAGATGGTCCCTCTCTAGAGCAGCTGTTTCTCAGGGATCCCCAACAGGCTAAGGCAATCAAAGATTTAGGAAAAAAACAAAAGGCAGGAATCAAAGGAGATTTAAAAAACACTCCATCAACCAACCTCCTCTACCTGTCCACGACCCTTCTGTTTAGGATCCTGCATTTTGATGCCTGCCCTGGGATGGGATTTGGAGCAGAGGGTGTTTCCAGCAGGCTTGCAGGGACAAGGCAGTGTCCCTCCTGTTGCCTGGAGGCCAGAGGAGCCACCTCCACCCGTGCCCACACAGCAGCATCCTTGTGCAAGAGGCAGTGTGAGGGACGTGTCCCCAGCGCCCAGGCACGGCCCTGCCCGGCACACCATCCATGGGGCTCAGGGAATATGGCACTTCTTGGAATTTCAGGTGACAGGAAGACTGGCTCCCCTTTCCCAACGAGGGCTAAGTCTAGTTAATGCAATCTCAGACTGAGCCAGGTTTGGCATTTGCAGGCTCCTCTCCTCCCTGTGTGATCCTGCTGTCAGCCCAGGTTAGCTCAGGGCCCGTTTTTCCTGGGAACATCTCTCAGAGCAGCCGGAGGAGGATGCTGGCAGAAAGAGCAGCAGGACGAGGCAGTGCCTCTCTCATCCCCTCACCCAGCTTGCAGCAACCATCCCGTTGCATTTCCAAGTCTCTCCACTGCAGCACGGCTCACCTGCACTCCAGGGGTTTGTTCCCTCTTCCAGAACCTGGCACTAGTGCTGCTCAGGTGCTCCCAGCCCACTGGGATGCCTGGCTGCCCACGCCCTCTGCATCTGCCTGCAGACAAAACCCCATGGTGCTGGAGCCTCTGGGGCCTCACAGGGTCCCAGCCTGAGCCCATCCTCCAGCCAGCTCTGCCCCAGCCAAGATTAACACACACACACACACACACACACTCAAGGAATCGGTAAGAACTCGATGGCACAAGCTGAAGCCATCAATCAACTCCCAAGCAGGATTTCCAGCCAGCCTCGGGCAGAGCCCAGCGTTCCAGGTATCAGCAACATCATTAAAGGAGGCGAGGCAGGGAAGAGAGACAGGCACAGGCTGGTGAAATACTTTAGGAAAGGCAAAAAGATGGGAGAGTTGGTCTTAGTGGGACACACATCCCACAACAGCTGGACCCATAACCTCAAAAAGGCTTTGGAATTGCTTTTTGCATGACCCTCAGTGAGTCATGTCCAAATTAAAATACACATCAGGGGTATCTGGGTTAGATTTCCAAGATATGCTCATATTCTATGTAAGGTAACATAAAACAGCAATAAAACCGAGGTCAGCTAGTTCAAATTCCCCATTTTCCCCTGCCAGTACTGGATCTATAGTGAGCAGCCTGGGAATTAATTCACAGGGTTAGTGAGGAGAAAAAACGTTCTCTTAAAATTAACTAATGAATTATAATAACAAAATTAGGGTAGGTTAGGTCTGATGCAACTGATGGGCAACTCAGCTCACACACACGATGTTTTTAGGCACACAGACTCCCCTCCCCAGGGGGAAGGGAGAAGAAGCAAAGGCAACACCAGCATTTAAGTCCCTGTGTTAAAAGTACGGTCACCCCGCTAAGAAAAGCACCTCTCAAACTGCCCTGGCAGGCCAAAGACCACCACAGTGCCTGGTGTTCAGAGAACCCCTCCCCACCCCATCTCCCTGTCTTAGGCACTGGATTTGGAATTTTAAAACACAGTCTCAGCATGAATTGGAGAGAATCAGCCCGGCGAGGTCTGGCCACCGCTCAGAGCTGACCACAGATGTGTCTCAGTGGGGCAGTGGCTCTGCTTTCCCAAGAGTGGGAAGCTGAACAAGCATCCTGCCCTGGTTTTACATCCCTCTGTGCAAGTCTCCTCTTGGCAAAGCAGGAGATTTGAGGAAGGTAAAGGCAGCTTCTAAAATAAAAAAGTCTCTCCTTACACTGCACCCAAGGCACTCAGCACCCTCGGCGCTGGGAAATGCACCCCACACAGGGTGATCTGGAATTAATACTCAGGGGTCGGGGGGAAAGAATTGTGCACTATTGCCAAAAACCCGATTATTTGACAGTGGGATGCAGCAGAGAACTGACATTTAAAGCCCATTTTCTTGCAGCACTACCAGTATTCACTGGCAAGGAAGAGCCATCAGATCAACTGTCTGCTGTTGCACTGAGAAAACCAGCTGAAAATGTCCTTCATCCAAAAGGCCACATGGCCACAACAGGATCATCCATCTTTGCTTTAAAAATCCCTCAGGGTGGAGGGTTTATATGTGCTCTGCCTGGTGGCATCAAAAATCTGGAGGTTTAGCTCTCTTTTAAATAAGCAACCGTTACACCCCCTCCAGCTAAATCCCAACGCCGCATCCTCGGCGCCCGCGAGGGACCCTTGGGAAAGGCAGAGCACCGAGTCCTGCCAAGGCTGCAGGGGCAGCGAGAGGGGAGATACGCTGCTGGTTGTCTGGAAACCCTTGGCACATCTTTGGTTACGGGATGAAAGGGATGCGGTGCGAGCTTTGGCCACCTGATCCGGCGAGAAGCGAACCCGGGAGAGGGGGAAGGAGGGGGTGGGAGCGCGGCTAATCCGACCATTCGTCCTCGTCGAACTCGGAGGAGTCGTCCTCGGAGTCGCTGTACTCCACCGCGATGCGGCGCGACAGGATGGTGGCCACGTCGTTGCCCACCACGTCCCGCTTCTCCTGCTCCCGCTGCTCCTCCACCTTGCGCAGCTGGAAGCCTGTTGGGCAGAAGGGAACGCCGGGGATCGTACAAGGTCCTGGTCACACGCTGTGTCACCTTTGTCACAGGGCTCTGAGCGAGGCAGGCTGGCTGTGTTGGGGTAATGCTGATGGCCAGGACAGCTCGGGTGGGGAGGTGGAACGGGAAGCAAATCCCTTCTGTGCCCCTCCACAGGGTGACCCCAGTGCTGCACCTTCCCCAACAAACCTGGATGACACCAATTCTGGCACTGCCATCCCCAAAAGTGCTGGGGGAAGCATAAAACGCAGCAAGGCGCTCAGGAGGGTGGGCAGACAAGGAGGGACCACAAGGGACAAGCCCTGAGCAGCAAGGCAGCCCCACTGCTCCCAGGAGACAGCTCCCAGGGTGTTCCAGAGGCAAAGGAGAGCGCCGGCATGGAAACACAACCTTACCTTGCCGAATAGCCGACAGCAGGTCACTCCTGGCGTCGCTAACCGCAGGCAAGGATGACTTGGGCTTGGATGTGGAGGTGTCAGAGGGCGGAGGGGGGGGTGGGGGGCCATCCAGGCCGCTGGAAGCCAGCGGGGGTGGGCCCGGAGGAGGCGGGGGCGGCGGCGGGGGCGGCACAACCCCCGCGCCCGGCTGCGGCAGCGGGGCTGCGAGAACACTGCAGTAATCGACTGCCGGGGGCGGCGGGGGAGGCGGAGGGGCAGCAAACTCTGGGTGAGGGGGGAAAGAG